GTTGCCCGACGGGAAACAGTTTTAATGATGATAATTTATCGCGCGGCAGAGAACCTGTATTCATTGGACGGGAATGCGGGGCGGTGAATTCAATAGTCCGATGAAGTTCCCGAGGCTTCTTGCTTTTTCTTCTTTTCTTGATTTTTATTCACTTTGGTTAAGTGACTCGAGCGGGGTTGTACTCTACTAACCCGATCGATAATTTATGTTCCCGCTTTGTTCTTGTTTTTTCATTGATTCTGAATATAGAGGTAAATATTGCTTTGCGGAGCGGGTACACCACGTACCCGAAGATAATGTGGGATGCGTGTTTTCGCCATTACGGAGGCGATAACAATACTTAGAAAACCAGATATCTTATGACACTAATTTATTAAATAGGTTTAAAGAGCTTTTTTATCAATGTTGCCTTGAGCGTATATCGAATACTTGTTTGTTTTCTTTCAACCGTGATTGAGCGTTGCTTTAGAATATCGACGAGGTGGCCTGAAATCTTTTATTCAATCTTCACCTTTTCATCTGGGCGTATTGCTTCTCGTACATACGTAATTTTGTGGTAGCCAACGTACGGCTAAAATACGCTATTCCCAACTCCCAGGGAAGCGGCACCACTCAGCGGGATAGACATGAAAGAGATGAGCTGCTTGTACCGCCTATCCTAGTCTTACAGCGAAAGCTTGCGCGGACAACGCGAAAAAGGCGAGCGATGTTCCTATCATCGACGTTTTTTTTACCGTTAATCTCGAGTTCGCCGCACTTGTGGTAACTTCGCGTACTCTTTCACTTACAGGGAGCCTGTGGAGATCTCTGAGACCACCTAACTACGGTGATAATTCACTATGCGGGCCCTTAGTACCCTAGAAATCTTTAAATCACTACGACGCGTGACCTATTTCCCCATTAAAAAAATTACCGTATCTCCACGTGGTGAATGATGTTGATTGGGGCGAAGCTCTGGTGGTGCTTGTCTGCGTAGACGCTGAGCCGCAGCATGCCGAGCCTTTCATTCGTTTTCATCCATGTCAGAAAGAGAATGTGTAATAAGGAACGTGGTTCCATACGCTTTGAGCATTCGACCGCAGCGTCCTGTCGTCTGTAAACGTTGAGCCAATGCATGCAAAGTTTAACGCGATTATGTACGCATTTCACCGCAGCACCCTCTCCTGTATAGACGTTGAGCGGCTACATGAAACGTTTCATTCATGACATCCCCAGCTCTTAATTTACTACCACATCTGAGAGCCCCCTACTCGTCCTGCCGTCGTGGCCGAGTGGTTAAGACGATGGACAAGAAATTCATTGGGGTCTCCCCGCATAGATTCGAATCATGTCGACTGTGCAAACTTTCTTTTTCATTATTTTTTTTATTCTTTGCCCTACACAAGCACGTGAGCACGTGAGCTCACGAGCATGAGCACAACCACCAACAAGATCCATGTGAGCACGGACGCCGGACGGACAAGGCTAAGGATAAGGAGCTTCGCCCCTAAAAAAAGCAATCAAAAATCGAACGCACCGAGATCATCACAAAGAAGGGGTAGAGCCTTTACCGAAACCGGAACCACTGTCAGGCAATAGCAAGCGGAAGATCATCGCGTCTCCGGCTGGCGGATCCGCGGAGTGATATCTCAAATGCGCGCGGCTCGTCGCCCGGATGTAGCCCGGACTTCGGACGCCCAGACCAAGTCGATCATCATCGCAGCAGTCGCTTCATCGCGCCTTGGCACTTGCCAACTCGGTGCCTCTCGAGGAAGCCTGGTATTCACCTGCGCCGCAGACAGAATCTGCGCGAGCAAGAACGATGCGATGAGTCAGGCGAGCGAGTGGGGTGACCACCCGTCCCACGACTCGCGGGACTTTCCAGCATTGAGGGCTGGTGTCCCGCGTCCCGCCCGAGAAAGTCTCAAATCTACAAAATGTCCCGCATTTCACACTGTCGTGAAATTCCCTCCGCAACGCGCTGCTGCCGAAAAATGGGACACGGGGAAGTGCGGAGTTCGCTAGTAACTGTGTGAATCGAAATGGTACGCCATGATCTATGATCTATCCAAGCATTGCGGAAAGCGACCACCGTTCTTGCTAGAAAACCGACGCGCATGCACCATTGTGCATCTCCCTTTGGTGGGAAAATATTGTATGAAACAATTCTCGCCAAAATCTTAAATATAATATAATGTAATTATTTTCAAATTGACGTGCCAATGCAAAAGGTACGCTGTGGATTTCTTTCTTTTTTTAGTGAAGGCAGCCACACATGCAACGTTAAAAAAAAATACTTAATGTTAAAAATTTGTGTAGCACCATGCCAATGCAAAAGGGTTGCTGTGGATTTCTTTTTTTTTTTTTTAGTGAAGGCAGCCATGCACACATGCAACGGTCAAAAGAGAACATCATGTTAAAAATTTGTGTAGGACCATGTTGATAGAAGTAAGCGTGGACAGGAAACAATAACCAGAAAAATATTTACTGTTTCTTCAGAACTCAACGCATCCGTTTGATGCGTTGAGTTCTGGTACAGTCGATTTTTATGTTTTCAACTTCGACACATTTAATACCATTTTTGGCATTCAAAATAATCTATCACTGGTAGTGAAAATGTTTTGAGCCTAATTGTTGCAATATAATTAGCATGTGTATAAACAGTACGCGATAATAAATGTGCTAACAGAGCATTGGTTCGTTGTCTGAGTCTTAAAAATCACCCCCTCCCCACTCCCCCTCTGCCCCGCGTGTCCCGCATTTCACTAGCAGGAAGGTGGTCACCCTACGAGCGAGCGCGCGCTCGAGAGCAGACGACAGGACCATCACTTCCGTGGAAAAAAAAAAAATAGTGCGTTGTGTTTGAGATGAGCATCACTTTCACAAACGTGCGTGGGCAAGTATGTAAATTAGTTGAAACAACATTAAAAAGACAAAGGCCACAGCTTATGTGCACACAAAACAAAACAAAACAAAAAAAAAATATGTTCGACCGGTTGACAGGCGGTAGGTCCACGCCTGGTGTAAAAATGAGCAGGGGAGGCGACCACAGGGTATAGGATAAAATCACAAGATATTTACTAACTTCAAACAACAACAAAAAGCTCTCGCCAAAACCGTAGGCGACGTACACTCGCGAACAAACAGAATAACCCGAAGTGTCGCTCAATACAAGCCGCAGACTCGATGGGCACGGGCGCAACAAAATTCAAGTGATAATAAAAGTCTTATCTGCCGAATCGTCGGTGGTCCAGGAATTGGATGCCTCCTCCGTGGTCTTGGTCCAGTCCGTCGGACGATTTTCTCGGGCGCACTTTCTCACGCACTCACACTGCAACACTAGCACCACACGGTACTACACAGGAAACCAACGAAATTCGAAGAAGAACAATGATGTTCCAACGGCGGGCTCAAATCCCCGTCGTCTTCACGCCCGCTGGACGGGAGAGCAGCGTCTCCGACTGCTCTCGGGATTCCGTGCCTCTTTTCCCACCAGTTCACTTCTATTTATAAGCAATAGCAGCATTCTGAGGACACTTACGTTGACGAATCAGAACCGAGCTTCTTGGCTCCAATCAGAACTATTAGTTTCGCAAATTTTTCCCTTTTTCCTTTTCGTTTTTTCCAGGAGAAAAACAAACAAACAACCAAGCAAACAAACAGAAAATTACTTCTTCATTCCATCCAGCTTCAACAGCGTCGCTGGGAGGTTTCGGAGGACGTAGTCACCCGACACCCTCGGTTGGACGCGTAAAGAAAGCGGCCATTCCGCTAACGAGCCAGACCCCCGACCGTCCCCCTTCGGCATCCCCCCATGGCGCGACCGAACACAAACCCCACACAAACAAAATAAACCTACGGTCCAGGGTGCGACGCCTACACAAAACGGCTTTAAAGTAAAGAAAGCCAGGGTGCGACAAGCTTCCCTTCCGTACATTCGGCATGGCCCAATGAAAGACTACACACACAGAAAGCCTTCAGTTCTCGGTACGCCGCGTACACAAGGCGGAGTAGAGATAAAGATCAAGTCCCCGATTCCCCGGTCACTTCTCTTCGGGATACCCGGCCTATTCCGACATACCACCCACACACGAGAAACGCAGAAAAAACGACAAAACAACATTAAAAAAAAGAAGAAATTTCGGCGATTCGTGACAATCACAGTATTACATTTCCACTCTGCGAAAAATTAAAATCTTTCTCGTACTCTCGTTTGCCCTTTTTATCTACAAAAGCATAGACATTTTATAAGAACAACGTTCGCAATCTCCACGAAACGTTGCGTTTTCATTGGTCACAGTAGTTCTGGCTACAGGAACCACGCTCCTCCCATTCTCTGTGATGACTTCGGCGCATTCAATCTTTGATCGCTTTTCGAATGGGGAAATCGGTCGTGCATCGTCGTGATTTAAAGATTTCTATGATGCTTAGAGCCCGCAGAGTGATTCATCACCATACTTAGGCGATCTCAGAAACCTCCTCAGTGCCCCTTTAAGACGTGCTCTATAACTTTCTAGAATAGACTGATTTAGGCGTTTTTGATGACGCTCAGCAAGGTTCTGATAGGAAAAATATGTTTATTTTCACGACTTAAAAGTTGTTTAGTGCATTTTAAAGAAATACTCAACTAAACTTCCAGCTTTTGCGACCCTTGACGTTCGCCGTGGTTGGCAAAATTTTCCTGGGAAGAGGTTATTTTTCTTTTTTTATTTTCTAGAAAATCTTAATGGTAGAAATGTTTTAATTCATTTGCTTAAATATCCGGTATATCCGTACGATAAATTCTGGTTTCACACATGCCTACTGCCAGTACCATTGTGAAAAAGATGAGGCATGTTCAATATCTTGTAAAATAGAGACTGGCGAACCGAAAAGGACGACACGCACAAAGATGTATTTTGCTTTTTGGTTGGCCGCCTCGAGTTTCGAGAAAAGTTGAAAGTTAAATCGCTCGCCCGTTGTTTTTTTTTTATATTAGGAGACTTCTTGTTCATGTCTTTATCTTTTTTTCCCGCTCCCAGGCGTGCCCCGGGCTTCTGCGATTGAGATCACCAAGCTCACGGTGCCCCGGGTGGTGGAGAGCGGCCTGGAAGGTCCCTTCGACTTGGACTGCCAATACCGCTGCAACGAGTCCGACTCCAAGCTGGTGGTAAAGTGGTTCTTCAACGGCGAGCCGCAGCCCTTCTACCAGTGGATCGCCGAGATGCAGAAGCCCGTGGTGGCCGAGCGCTACGAGCAGAGCCTGGACATGGACCGCTCGCACGCGCCGGGCGGCGCCGACGCCTGCAATACGCACACGTGGCAGCTGCGCCTCGTCAAGCCCACCATCGACATGAGCGGCAAGTACCGCTGTGAGGTGCTCACACTCGACGACCAGGACAGCGCAGAGGCTAGCATGATGGTCTTCGGTGAGTGCCGCCGCGTTGCTTTCAGGCCTCTCGCTAAGTTATGGAGCACGACTCCGACTAATGTGTCTACTGCATTCTCATTCGTGGTCCCCGAGGATTTTCGCTCGGTGACGTCACACTTGTGTCATGCTGTTGCCGGCCGTGATCCTTGCGGTTGCACGGAAGGAGCGGAGGTGGATATGGCACACGCTGTACGTTGTTTTTCAGCTTAACAGCCACGGAAAATTTAACAACCAAAATGGAGACGCTGCGACGGCAGCTGGACACGCATTCGCTGGCTGCTTCATGCCGGAACTTCTACAAACAACCGCCGGGATTGCCACATCCGGTAGCATGGCACGGCGGTTACTGTGACGTCGTCTGTGGGCATTCCGGGACCGTTTGCAATGCTTGGGCGGCATTGTCAGCTAAACACATCATTGGAGGATGATTTTCGGGCGCCGTAGTTGGGGTTGAAGGCTTGGGGCAGGTAAGGTCATTGTACCTCTATTTGTGAAATGTATGCACAATACTAGAAATACTATCTGCTTGAACATACTTCTTTCCGATTTTGTTATATGAGGGTACCAGCTAGGGTTATGAAAACCTCTTACAGACTTTTACAAAGAGGGAGATAGCGTGACGGTTCGGTGTATGAGTTTTTGAAAGACTTTAGAAGGCTTAATTGAGAGCATTAAACAAAATATAGGGCGATTCCTCACCCTTATTCAGGATGGCATCCTTAACTGAATGTGAATTAAGTTTCATGCTTGACTTTGCGCGCCAAATTGTGGCAATAATATGATTACTTGAAGAAAGTCGGATTCAATGGTAAGCTTTTCTGACAACTCTAGAGCACCAATACCCCGTCCCCTTTCTTACCTCATACTCTCACACGCACAGACATATCCATCCTGGCCTTCGGGTTTTATTCTTCCCGGACTTTATAATTTTAAGATGTACATTGGTTCAACAGCTCTTAAAGGAGCGGTGCAACTATATTCAATTGGAATGTTTTTCACTTTACACGAGCTTACTGGCACAAGTGTGACACAAGGATACTCGCACGCAACGCCACTGGCCAAGAAACTCCTTCGTTGCGGTGTAATTTCAAGGACAAAAGCGATCATTTTCATTCAATCTCTCCTTTGCAAAATTGGATGGCGTAACGTGGAGATCGCAGCACACCCCGATGACGATATTTGAATGCGGTTCAAAGGCTGGACCCGAGCATTGCGTGAGCACTCGACTTGGACTCGTTATAATTCCTAGCTCGAGAAGCATTCGGGGAAGGGGCCAGTTTCCAATCGCTGCAACGACGACAATAGCCGAGCCATAACAATGTCTGAAATTCAGCGCGTGTCCTGTGTTTTGCCAACCCCAGCGCGTGGCTATGATCAACATTGGCGGCATATAATCGGCTCCAGATTACCTGGCCGCTTGTTCTGGCTGCGAGTTGAGGGGGTGAACGCTGCTCGTTTTTCTTTAATTTTTTTCTGGGACTTCTATTGCGTGGGGTGAAAAACGAACGCGTGTTTCATAGGTTATTAACATCAGAGATCCGTTCTAAGTGATATTTGCGCAAAGTACCAAAATTGTTGCATCGCCCCTTTAAATTCCCTTGACTGTCGTAAGAAACCTTATCTGCTGACTACTTTGAACCTTGCAGGGAAGGGGATGGTAAGTAAATGACAAGGAGTGCAAGAAGTGAGGGTAAAGCGGCGGTATAATTCTGCACGGTCAACAGCTTTGGCTGATGCGTTTTATCACCATGCTGGAGTCGTGAAAAAGCAGCATTTTCTAGAAATTACGTATAAGTATGAGCACAATCTTAAATTAAGACGAACAAAAACTGGTTTCATTTTCGGGCAATACAAGCGCGATTTGATGGGTTGAGACAATCACGCCGAAAACAGCCCGTACTTAATATATTTTTTTTAAATTTATTACCTTGTAAAAAAAAACGCAAACATATAACACTCAATTAACAGATGCACAATTCATGCATTTAATTAGTTTCGTTAATATTTTTTTTAACTCACAAAACAATAATTTTTTCTAAAATTCTTTGTATGGAATATTTTCACTTTTCTTAAGATTAACGTTTATATATGGGAATACCCGAATTCCTGCAATGAAAGGCTATCTAACTATTGGTATTCAAATCACATTGCATTAATTTTACATAAGGTATTTTTATAGTGACTATGAATTTGGCTTGAGGTTAACGTTTATGAGGAAATATCAGAACCAAACTGCCTTACGTGGTTTTAAAACCAGTGTGAGCTCTTTCCAAGTTCACTGATGATATCAAACTGCACCTCTATAAATGTAACTTTTGATAGTTACATATTCCCAGTGTTGAAAGTTACTTTAAGTGTATTGTACCTAAAGTACTATTTCATGGAGGTTTGGAATTGTTGCATTTTATTTGAAGTACATTGTCTGAGCATGTACCTATACTTTACTTAAAGTATATTTTCTGGTACTTTCCGACTTCAAAGAACCTTCCCAAAATTGGTCCTGGTTAAACTTGTATCCCAACATGATGATTTGCCAACTCTAAAGCCACTTGACCTTATACAATATTTGTCGCCATTACCGAAAATAAGTGATGCACCCCCAATTACCCCTGGGGCAATGCCTTCCAAATAAAAAATCCCTTCATAGGGGAATAAAAAGGCACTATGATAGATCGTGATAAAAAGAACTTGTTCTTTACTTTGAAAGTATATTGCATTCATAGTACTTTACTTCAAGTTCATTGCACCCGGTGTACTTACCACTTTAGTTGAAGCGCAACTGCTCTCATTACATTTGTACTTCGCTTATAGTAACTTTTAGATTTACTTTACTCAACACCTGCGCTGTAAGTTTTACTACTGAGAAAATCAATGCCATCAATTTTATAGTTTTAATTTTACGTTCCTGTTTCCTTACATTTTTTGTTTAGTTTTCTTCTGTGATAACACTAACTCTATTTTTATTTAAAAAATATAACAAGGTTTTTTACGAGAATACAAACTTTGTTCTAAAGCATCTGCATTTGCAGTAGTTAAACATTAATAAAATGCAATCTGCTTCCTCTTGTGCTGCAATTATCCTGCGCTAAATATAAAATCCTGAATTAGACATGTGTGCACAAAAGTAGTGAGATTATTTTTCATTAAAAAAAGCAACTCGATCAGAATGAAACATCTGCTAACGCCTTCACTCATTTCTGTCATTATTTATAGCATATACAAAGACCAGACAGAAAGCTATTTTGGTTTTACTGTTTCAAAACACTTTTGCGCGAGCTCTCTATATTTTGTAAGTATTCCCTTCAATTCCAGTCTGCTTGTTCCTACAAACGTCTTCTTTTGTGTAACGTCTGACTAATTAGCCCGATTGAAGATAAACTTCCAATCAGACTTTACAAAGACACTAAGACACTGAAAAGCACATTGCATTAGTCAGAAAGTTTTCCTATATGTTTGCTTCTTTTTACCGAGTAACGAAAAAAAGGAAACGTCCATACGATATTTATTTTTTGCAGCTTTCAAAAGAGTCCCTCGTTGTAGCAGACTCAACATAAATGCCCTTTAAAGGCTCGGGAGACAATGGAGTAGATATATTTAAGCTGGTTTTTACAGCAATCTGAAAGTTATTTCATCACAGACTACCATCGTCCTTGATTTTCTTTTTTAAAGATATATTTGCCTTGTGTCAAGACTGAATAAGATTTTTTTTTCTGAGCTTTTTGTGGTGCGTAACTTCAAGCGCATTCTGTACTTCCGGCATCTAAATAAGGAAGTATTTTCTGCTCTGCATTTGGTCACTGTGAAAGCGAAAAAAACTGCGCTCCTGATGGAATTTAGACAACCCCAGCGTCGAGTGAATTCCCCATATTTAACTTGCAGAAGCTAGCTTGCATCCTTGTTTTCTATTCGGAATATTTTCCTTGTTAGGTCTGGCTCTCTGGTGTAAAGAAATTGTGCGAGGCTGTCTTATGGCACAGTAAAATAAATAATAAATTTAGTTTATATGTAGTAATATGTGTTACGATGTGCCACATCAAAGACAATTGTTGTTCATATGCAACAAAATTAAGAAAAGATGATGATGATTATTATTCTTCGTACTTAATCATTTGCTATGCTGAAATTGTGGTTCAACATTACTAGCGCCCACAGTTGAGAACTGAATTCGGGATGTGTCCACAGAGTTAGAACTATAACGTGTACAGTCAGACAAAAAGCTATTACGCCTCGTGAACGTCCGCTTTTTGTTTTTCTGGTGACGTGACTGGATCGTCCATATAAAGCAGCAAGGAGAAGCCCCTCAAGGCAGTCAAACTTCCGTTGTGATCAGTATGTACTGCGCCAAAAAACGACAGGACAAAGAGGAGAGTAAACAGGACGAGGCGCACTCGCAACTAAAGTTTATTTAGGAAAAAGCACATAATATATAGGCCGTTAAAAGCGCCTATTCATCTCATCAATCCAGAAGACCTCTTGATAAAATCAAACTCTTTCCCTGAGAGGGCAAGGAAAGGCTCGCTAACGCATTCATCTCCCTTTGCTCTAATCTCAAACGCCTCGTGCACTTCTCGGCATATTTTATCTTTATATTTCGCCAGAACCTTCACATCATGCAAAACTGGTGAGCACAGGCAGCGACTACAATGAACAGCTAAATTACCTGACGGGCTTGCTCTCATAGCTGCCGCATGTTCCCGTGCACGATCATTGACACATCTACCAGTCTGGGCGATGTACACGGAGCCGCAAGTCAGCAGAATTTCGTAAACCACTCCGACGGCACACTCAGCATATTTAGTTTTGTGTTTTGTGCCGCACTGCTCCATGTCTGTCTGGGGATTATTGATTCTACGGCACAAGCGTGCCATCTTTTCCGGAGCTGAAAATACTACGGGTACTCTAAACCGCTGTGCAACTTTCTTTAAATTATGGGACATGGCATACAAGTACGGAATAATTACCGGTCTCGTTTTTGGCTTCTCTCTTGCCCGATTAGTT